GGATACGATAAATAGATTCAGTATACCAACTGTGGTTGGCTTCAAATACCAGAACGTTGGAAAAATATGCCCCTGAACTTCGTCGTTCAATCGCTTATAATCGGATGGGACAACGAACATTTAAAAAAAGTTAATTACTTATTAAAATATTGTTATTTTCCAGCCGCGGTTTACTACTTGTAAACTGCTTGGCATGAATATGAATATGAGAATTTATAGCACTGGTGTAAAAATAACCATGGACAGATTTTCCAGCTGGACATTAAAATCCCAACTTCGATATTTGGGATGAAGTTTTGAAATTTACATTAAGAAGAACAACTCTTACTTTAAAATATGTTTGGCAAAGATTCCTAATAGTACGGACTGTGCTTGGGCGATAGAATCACGGAAGTTCGGTCTCGTGATTTGATATGAATTATGGTACTTGATCAGATCGAAAAGAGACAAGTTGTTAAATATCGGAAACACTGGCCGATTCCTTCATGACCCTTTGTACCACAATCGGCTCATGCTTCTTTGACATTTATCACTTGATAACGGATCAGCTATTGCCAAATATACTCGTAAGTGTCCTAAGGCCAAAATGATTACCGCACTTCATCGACTGGTGCATAAATTTTTTTTTGTTCAAATGATGCTAGAGCATTTTCCAAACAGTGTTGGAGACGTCGAAGCCATACTACTCTTTTGTTGAGTACTTTGTCCAAAAATTGGCAAACAGAGACCAAAAGGAATTCACCTTTGAAAAATGTATAAGGATTGTTATCGACCGTTCAATTTAATTTTACATCTGCATCTGTCTTTATCTCTTCCTCTTTCAGAACGAAACTGTAGCTGATGAACTGTTACCAAACGCTGTGACCGAATCAAATCCGGACGAGTTGGATGAAGTGACGTCTCGTACCCCGTATGACAATGAACTTTTACGAGAAGATGACGACGATGGGGACGGGGACAACGAGAACTGTATTAAACCATCCTGAGGGCCTACGTTTCCGCACATTTGCTTTCCCTGATCCCATTGCAAGCAATTCGATCCATTGTTGACTCAAACTGACCCACTCTAAGTATCATTTTTTTATAATCTGACTTGTTGAATTGGCAACAACTGCCTGCTACCAACCAACAATTGACTGGTGTTTTATTTGTTTCTTTGTTTGAGGCTTTCCGGCTAACTTGTACACAGACTGTCTGGAATTCCGTGTACGTGTATTATTCCCAAATAGGTTCACATTCTTCCCACCAGAACCGAAGCTTCACTTTGAAGATGTTTGAAAATTACGAGAAATTCAATTTTCGATTCTGTTCTCATTCAAGGAGGATAAGTTTACCAGTTCCAACCCTCTAACATAATTTACCCGGCATATTTTGAATTCAGTAATAAGTCAAGTGGTTCCCATCCATGTAGGGCTACAGGGGCAGATTTACAAATTGGGAATCACTCGTCATTGCAACTAGTACTGTATGTATCAAGCATGTTCAAGGAAGGGGGTGACAGTAAACAGTATAGTGCATCTCTTTTCTGCACACGGTGCGTTCACTGCTTTGAGTTGTGATTAGGATAAAAAACTTTTCACACGATAGTAAAAATACGAGGACTCATAAATACGCGCTTTTCTCCCCGAATTACTTTCTAGCGTAAAAGTAGTAGTAAAGAAATGATTGTATAAAAAATACGGACATCAAACTAAAAGTTTGCAGCTGTTCAAAAGGTAACAAACTGGAATAGGAGCGTTGCACGGATACCAGGAGGTGAAAGAATACAATTTCATTTTGCGCAATACCATATTTTGTAGAACTTATGCAAATTTTAGGATAAGATGATACCGCGTACTCAGACACGTCCGAGGTGATTTGTAAGAAAAACTCGTTGGATTGCTCTGTCCCATCTCCCTCCCGTCTACCGAGATTCGAGTTAAGCAAAGCGTGTCGTGTGCCGCAGAGAACGAAACCTGGTGGCAAACTTCGTTCGGTCGCATAGATGGAAAGAATACAAACTCGTGACTTGAATACAAGTGAGATCGGTAGTCTATGACCTGGGAATCATTTCCGAGTCACCTGATTGAGCTTCCATCAAGTGGATATGCTGGAATAGTCCAATAACAGGCTCAATCATCTCTCTGTCCATAAGCACTGAACGGAAACAATCTAACCATTGTGAGAGCAAGAAAGATGCCACTTGAAATGCAGACTCTTTACATAATATGAGAATTACCTGCACTGCTCCCCAACTCAGTCGAATTAAATTAAACCTAAGCGCGTTCGTATTGGTAATCAAACGCCATAGCGATAATACACTCGATGGGAAACTTCATGACGATTTAGCGTCAATCCATTTGATTTACTAGATACCATTTTCGCTTTTCGGTACTTTAAATAATCACATTACAGTAAGCCTCCCCAAATCACTGGTTTGATGTGTTAGTTTAAAAAAATTTTCATTTTTGGCATGTTTTTGATAACACCTATAAATGGACTAGGAACCGAGTAAGAAACCGTTTGTTTGTAGATTTTCAAGTTAAAATTTAAAGGACTGGAGTCCATATTTGCGATTCACACTAATATTGATCTAAAATACAAGCACTGTACGGAGTAATAACAAGATTATGCATCCATCAAATAGTAAAAAGAACGGGAAAGTGTTATAGTGCTCGGGTGGCAGGAGGATTCCTATTCGCACAGAATTATTAGCACACTTGTCACAACCAAATAACTGCCCACAATTCACTGGATAAAAACTGCTATAATAGGACATTACTAAAAACGCTTACCTCAGAGATTCTATCAATCACAGTGTGATACTTTCAGAGGCAGTGAAGGATAAATGCTGCATCAGAAAAGTTCACATAAAATAAGCCGTTTGATGTCAGCTTTGATAGCTGAAGCGGCTGGAATTTTGTTCTAATCATTACTCGTGTCTTGGCTCAAATCGCACAGCGTTTTTTTGAAACTAATCCGACAAATTATCTAAATAGAAGTTCAGCTGTTTCAAATTCCTCTCAGTTGTGCGTAACACCCATTTATACGATAGAAACGGAATCTTGAAATCCGTTTTACGTGAAAAGAGGTTTATGGTGGATTGTTATTTCGAAACGGGGTAAACACCACTTAGTGAGTGAACGTTTTCTCAATCTGAGCAATACAAGGGCTTCGATAGCATGTATTCTGAAAGAAGGAGACAAACAATTCTTCAAATATTATCTAGTTTCGAGTTATACTCAGCTTTATCAAGTAACACCCAGCAGGTTTCCTTATCCGGTTGCAATATTATGGTATCCCTCTTTCTTCTCCTATCTTTATCTAGTGAAATTTCAGATCAGTGGCACGAAATTTCGAACCAGGGGATAAAACCAAAACTGCAACATATCGAGCACAGCAAAAGGGAATTTGTGTACGTTTCTTCCCAAATGCGTTGGAAAATTCGTCTGGGGACTTTTGAGCTCTGATGGCATGTGAAGAAAGAGAACATCGTGTTTTCAGAATAAATATGATTCATCCAGTTAAGCCTGTTCAGTTGGGACTACGTTTAGGGTGAAACTGTACAACTTACTTCATCAAGCTTTAACGAAAACATGCAGTTCTTTGAGCGCGCGAATCACAACCGCTTAAGCCTGACTCGCATATATTGTTAGTCACGATCAACCTTAGATAATGATGGTGATGGTGAGAAAACGCTCGGAGTAATCAGACATTTTCTTACCCGACGAGGAAAAGCGAGAAAAGATGGTGATCGCATTACGAACACTTGGTCGTCGTGCCCCATGTCACATGTGGCCGCGCAAATAAATTAGTGGCAGATCTGGGGATGTAGTTGCCTAAGCTATGCCGGTTATCCTCGGGAGGCCAATGTATTCACTGTCTTAAAAGGATAATTCTAATTAATGAAACTAAGGAAAGTTAAATTGTTCTTTATATTTCCCTGAATCCTGTTGAGGTTGACTCATACGAAAGAGACATTCCATTTATGGCACTCTCTGAGAAAATGTCCTTCCAGGTATAGCTTGGCTGAGACATTTATCTCCTGGGATATTGTTGTCAATCGGGTGAAAAACAAAGCTGATCACTATATGCTTTGTTCAGCCTTATCCGGCATTTTATTCATCTGTCAATGTGAATGCTAAGAAGATAACTAATATTTTCATAAAACTGAATGAGAACCAAGGACGTACATTGAACAAATAGATTGTCGTGTAAATTGATCACCGATGACTCAAATCGCTCCGCGATCTATAGGCATATTTTTAATTAGTTTCTCTTAGACTATTACGAGTGCAGCAATGTTCCAGGGGAAAATATTTCGCGAATTTTCTAGTTCGAATCGCTTACACTAGCATGACTTATTGTTGCACCTCGAGATTGTTTGTTCTTGATTTGAGACCGAAACGTCTGTTCAGTTTCCAAATGTCAAATAGAAAATCGTGAGAGATGGAAACGTACGTCCCAGGCACTCTGAAAAATCACTTTCGGTGTTAATTGATTATCAACTTGGGAACAAAGGTGCTTTGAAATATTTGTGTCTCCTTCTTGAGTTACGAGGGGCACAAATGTTGGCAACAAACGTAATTGTTTCGGGTTTTGATCACTCTCCTAACTGTTGTGTACAAACACGATTCATAATGTGTGACAAGCATTCTATTTCGCCTGTTCGCCGAGTTTGGCTTTTTGTTTGCAAACGTTTCATCAAACCATCACTTCACAAGCAATGATGATGTGACCTCACTGGATGATAAAATGTTTGCAAAAACAAATTGCTAAGCTTGACGAAATGGCGAATTAGAATTCAGTACCAATTAATGTTAGGAGTGTATCGGAAAATCAATGCGCCATGTGTTGTTTTATTATGAATGTTATAAAACTAATAACACAGTGACGTCGGTAAAGAATCGTATTTACGGACATTTCGGGTAGCGCGGGTAATCTTTCTCAAGGCAGGTTTTACAATCAGTTTTGGAACACCTTGAAAATGAACCGTATGAAAGAACTGAAGACGTAAAGGGGAATGCTACTCTTAACAAAACAAAAGCTTGTACAAACAAATACCTGTCTAGCTTTAAAGATAAACTCGGTAAACCGTTGTGGTTTTCACTGGCACCCAAGACGAATAGACCGAGTAGATTCTACGGTCTTCCAAACATACACGAACCGGACATACCCATTCGCCCCATTGTAGATTACACAACATGTGGAGCTTACAAACTAGCAAATTACCTCAGTGATTTGTTGAAACCGTATAAAAAATAGTAGCAAGTCACATCAATGACGCATTTGAGTTTGCTCGTATTTTGCACAACATTGAACTTGAAGGTGACGAGATTGCCGTCAGCTTTCATGTGGTTTCTCTGTACACAAGTATCCCATTAAAGGACAGTTTAGATTTTGGGCATTCTTTGCTGATTTTTGATGTCACACTAGGAGAACGAACTTCTTTAACCCCATCAGAAATTTTCAGTGGTGTAAAATTTGTCTAATGTCAACTTTATTTACATCCAATCACTATTTGTACAGTCAAACCAATGGTGTTGCCATGGGATCTATCATCTCTCCCATTGTAGCCAACCTCCTTTTGCATTCAGTCAAATCAAAGGCATTCTCCAGTTTTAATAAATCCCCACGTTCATAAGTTAGATAAGCGGATGATAGGTTTGTCAATATTAAGTCCAAAGACACATTTGTGTTTCTTGATTGGCTGCACAAACAGTGCAGCTCCATCGATTTCACAATGGAGTCACAGAATGTAAACCGAGTCATCATTTTTCTACGCTGTCACCTGAAGGCTCACACAACTTTACCACCAGCGTTCACAAAAAAACCCACACATTCGGATAAACTTTTACATTTTGAATCAGCTCATCCGTAATGTGTTAAATGGAGTCCTATCTCCTCTCTGGCAGACAGAGCTCAAAAGTTTTGCAATAAAAACAATAACCGCCAAATGAAAATGAAAAGACACAAAAAAGTGAAATAAGATGATGATTATCCACCA